TGTTCAGGAAAACAGAGGCAAAGAAACTGTTAAAAATATCAGCTTTCTTGTCTGACGTGGCCACCAGATTACCGTTTGTGTTTTGCAGGGGCCCTACATTGCCTGGTGCCCTCTTTTTTTCTCCCAATGTACTTGAAAAAGGACTTTTTGTTGTCCTTGATTCTGGACACTAGCCTGACCTCCGTCTCTACCTTGGCCTTCCTAATAGCCCTCACACACTCCCAGGCTGAGGAGGAGTACTCCTCCTTGGTGATAGTTCCTCCCTTCCACTGGTTGTACAGCAATGCCTTTTAGTCCTCAGGCATTGCTGAATGCCCTTGCTGAGCCAAGGGGGTTTCTGAGCACTCTTACCCCGCCTGCTTCGCTCAGGGACTGTTATCCTTTGGGCCTGGAGGATCGCCCCCTTAAGATACGACCATCCCTCGTGGACTCCCATCTCTTCTACCTTCTGGGCCCTTAGTGCCTCCCCCACTAGTCTCCTAAACTCACTGAAGTTGGCCCTTCTGAAGTCAAGGGCTTTAGCCTTGGTGTGAGCCCTAGACACCCTGTGTTGGATAATGAAATCCAGCAGGTGATGATCGCTGTTGCCCAGGTGGTCAAGGACCTGCAGTCCCCTCACCAGGTCATCCCCCATGGCCAGGACCAGGTCCAGCAAGGCGTTACCCCTAGTGGGGCTGTGCACTTCCTGGATAAGGGGAAGGTCCTGTAATACAGCCAGGAACCTACGCGAGTGGTCAGACCTGGCTGTCTGCTCCTCCCAGCAAATGTCTGGGTAGTTTAGGTCACCCATGACATTAACATCCCTTGACCTAACTGCCTCCATAAGCTGACTGGAGAAGTCCTAGTCTAGCTCTTCCCCCTGCTTGGGTGGTCTATAGTAGACACCCACCGTAAGGTCCCTTTCACCATGCCCCCCTTGTAGTTCGACTCATAGGGTCTCTGCCCGACCCTCTTCTAACCCGAAGCTAATCCTTGATGATGAGGTGCTCTTTGACATAGAATGCAACCCCCCCCACCTTTCCTCTCTGTCCTGTCTCTTCTATATAGGGTGTACCCCCGAATGCCCTACTGGTGAAAGAGCAGCAATGCAGCTTGGAACGGTGATGTGTGTAAATGATGGTGCTGTACCTGTTTGGATGTGGGTCAGAGCCTAGGACTTCAATCCTAGGTCAGATGAGGTGTTTGTCTGGTCTCAGAGCCTGTAAACAGAGACCACAGAATTTTCCTAGCTTCTCTCCAAAACCTATGCTATTGTGGGAATGGTGAAGAGTGAAAGGATAGTGACTCCAAACATGAAGTCTATATCAAGTGTCTTGCAAATGTGCAAGGAGAAAAAGAGAACTGTAATCCAAAGAAAGCATGGTTCAGTACTAGAGAGGGATGTGCCCTGGGCATTAGTAAACAAGGTTGTTTTTCCAGTCCTGTCCCTGATTTGCCATGTGACTCTGGAGCAAGTAACTTCACCTCTCTGCATCCCTGTCTTCTTATCATTCCTTTGTCTGACTTGTGCATTTAAAGACTTGGTTGTCTGTGTCAGACTAACATTGCTGTTACAAGATTGAGACTCCCTTCATTTGCAGTGCAAGATTAGGACTCTGGCATGCTGGAAATACAGTGCTCAGGTATAAACCAAGAGGAGGCTGCAAGCAGAAAGTGCAAGCTAGCCACTCACCATGCAGCTTGCTCTTGTCACATGTGCAAGCGTTGGCCATAGTAAGACAAATAGCAACATTACTAGCTGTAGTTTTAGATCCCACACAGTTCCTTAAATATGCATCTTTTTTTTTTTTTAAACCTTGCAAGAATCTACTGTAAGCCGATGCTAGCGTTGGGACTGCAGGATTGGTGCATGAAGATCTGTAGAATTTAGGACCCCCTAACTTAGGGAACAGGAACAGTGAAGAGTGAGAGGACGGTGACCCAAGACATGAAGACCCCTAAACCCACACAGGGGTGAAGTGGATGCCTAGGTGGAGGGGGCTGTATGGGTGTTGGAGCCCACATGTACTCCCCTCTTCCCTTGAGAGGTCTGTAATGGGAGTGGGGGTATAATATACATCAGGGTCCCTCCTCTTTGCCCACATGCTGGGGTCTGGATCAAATTAGTGGTAAGATTGCCCACTCTCTCCAAATCTATTCCAGGAGGTTTCATCACAAGATGTAATGACATGGATGACTTCACATCAGGAAGGTAAATGCATGTTCCCATTTCCTTTTAAAATCCCACTGGCCTACTACATACAGCAAATTCAATGTTTAATATTTATTTTAATGAATGCCCTAGCATTTACCTCCTTGGCAACTCTCACCAGTCTCCTGGAGCTTCATATCTAATTCCTGGAGACTCCAGGGTTGGCAACTCTAATTAGGGGGGTGGCTGCAGGATGGGCTTGGGCTGCGCAGGTGGGTCAGGCAGGTGTAGGAAGGAGGCTGCGAGGCAGGTGGCGAGGCCCCGGGAGCAGGCTGGTAAGGGTGGGTCATCATCATGCAACAGACTCCAGGAGAGGCCCCAGGCCCGGCAAGAGGCAGGCGGGGCGCATGGGCTAAGGGGCAAAGCTACGTCATGGACGGCGGGGCTGAGTGCATCGGCACTGTGATGCCGAGTCCTGCGGTGCGGTTGGAAGCTGTGTGGGGCGGTGGAGACCTACATTTCCCGGCATGCCCTGGGCGGACCACGCAGGCGCAGAAAGGGGCATCCCGGAAGGGGAAGGTCCGCTTGGCTGGCGCGTGCGCAGTGGCTGTGCTAGGCCCCCTGGAAGCGGAAGGCATAGGAAGTGCGCGCGGGCCGGGGGCGGCGGTGGTGTGGTTCCGTGCCGGCAGCGCTCACCTCCGCCATTTTTCCCTACCCCCCAGGTGGTGCACGCAGGGACCGCGGCTATGTCGAGCCTGGTGGCGGCCACGTGCGACGGGCAGGGCTCGCAGCCCGCCGCGC